CCCACGTGCACTGACATTCACGCACTTGTACACTCACACGGGCGTGTCCCACTGGCCCAGAGTCCCAGGAGGATTTGAGCCAGGAGCGTTCCAGGCACCAGGGCCCCATAGCGCCCGCATCGCCTGAGCTTTCTGGGCTGATTCTGCAGTGGGTGCTGTTGGGGGGGGGCTCCAAATCCCGCACAATCCTTGCCTGGCTGCCAGCTCAGCCTAAGTAAGTGTGTCGACCCCTCAGGCCTCTCTTTTTCCATCTGCATGGGGGGCTGTTGTTGAGGTTTCCCCCCAGGAGGGAGGCTGACCAGGTCACCTGAGCCCCCCACCAGCCCCAAGGTTTGCAGACTGTTGTGTGGGTGCACACGCTTGAACTGCGTTCCCCAGCGGGATGACCCCTCACAGGTGCACAGCCCTCCATGGTTAAGGCGGCACTCCGAGGCCACTGTCCATCCCGGGTCTCCCGGCAGCCCTGGAGTAGGGGCGGCAGATGCCGACGTTGAGCAGCAGCCGGTTGGAAGCTAAGTCCGGGCCATGCAGTGTGGTTGGACACGGGTCCAGGAGTGGCTGCAAGGTCGCCGGCCAGACAGGGCCCTGCTGCGGCTGGCGCTTGGAGACTTTTCTTCCAGAAAGACTTGTCTGGCTGTGGAGCTGGCCTCCCATGATTGGGGGTGGGGGTGGGGGAGGGTGGGATCTGGGCCTGAGAGTGGGCTCAGCCCCGCCCTCCAGAAGCTCTGCTCAGTGATCGGGGAAAGAGCCTGGGGGAGGGGCTGTCCCGGGAGCTCCAGACCTGGAGAGCCCAGAAGCTGCTGCTCAGCTCGCCCCTGAGGGACAAGGAAGGTGACGGTACCGGAGAGGGAGCCAGGCATGCAGATTTGCACGGGGCCTGGGGTGGGAGGCAGCGTTCAGGGGTGAGGCCGAGAGGGTCCGCAGAGCCTCAGGGCTGTGAATGCGGTTCCAGGGAGCTGGGCGCCGTGGGGATGGGGCGTTTCAACTGGAGACAACATGGGAGGAGAGAGATGGCTTAATGCACTCCCTTGTACCCCTCCCTCTGCCTCAACAACTGTCAACTCTCGGCCAGGCTTGTTTCCTCTTATTTCCGCCCCCCCCCCCGCCCTCCAGGCAACATGTCATTTCATCTGTAAATATTTCTGATGCATCTCTGGAGAATAAGGGGTCATCAAAAGCAAAACAAAACTCTGTAACCACAATCCTGTAACACAACTAAAATAATTTCACATTTCACGATAATTCCCTCATTGCATCAAATGCCCAGGAGGAGTTTTGGTTTCCAATTTCTGCTTAAGTTTTATTTATACCATTAGTTTCAAATGTAGAGTTCAGTAATTCATCAGTTGCGGATAATACCCGGTGCTCATCACATCATGTGCCCTCTTTAATGCCCATCACCCAGTTACCCCATCCCCCCACCCACCTCTCCTTCTTCAACCCTCAGTTTGTTTCCTAGAGTTAAGAGTTTCCATTGGTTTTCTCCCTC